CCTTCAGTCAGGGACTGAATTCAACCTAGCAACCTAGCTACTATCGAAAATCCTGCCACCGTCGGGACTCAAACCCAGAACTGCCAGGTCAGACGGACTGCAGTTATATTAGTTGATGCCCTAAGCCATCTCTTCCGGTTCAAAGGTTAACGGGAACTGGGCGCATATGTCGCACTTCTTCTTCGGTGCTGTATTCTGTATACGGAATTTAGGTGACCCTTTAAGGGTTTACTCAATGTGATTTCCCATCCCTGACTATTCGACTTAGGCTTCTTTAGAAGCCTACCTCCGATGCGGGTCTGGGGACTTATCGAAAAGGTGCACCTCGCAGGAGGTCCCATAAAAGCGCCTTGGATTTGACTCTCACTTTCTACGCCAGATGTGGGTCTCAGTTACTATATCCGAACAGTCTGGGGGAAAGTGTGATTTCGTTAGGGCGAATGCTATCGGAGGAATTTAATATTGCCGTCAGTTTTTTTACTTGCCACAAGTGTGACATGACTACTGTGTATTTTCCGCCCTTCCAAAATCCGGGCACCTCGGCTGGGATCGAAACCACACTGAGGCAAGTATGCTAACCTTTCACCCACCGAGACACCCCATGTGTCGCAAACTTGCTACAAACGGGACACAATTAAAGGTGTCAGGTTTTCTATAAATCACGGGAAAAGCTTGTAGCAAAAATGAAACATTACTGAAACAAATTTATCTGCACTAATGAGAACGGATATAAAACCAAGATTAAATGGTGTTTTAGTCATTTCTAACATTAGCCTCAAAGAATTGACCTTTCTTTTAATTAAGTAACTTTTAGTGTCTTGATTAGTCATATAGCCGCTCACTGCCGCTGACCACACACCCGCCCTCTACCGGCCTTATTCTGAAGTTACAGAACCACACTTTTGCTGACTGGTCAAGTATTGTTTCTGCAACTCTTTTATAGTTGCAACTAAAAAATAAAGATTTTTGAGTTGTGACACTTTTGTAGAAAGGGTGCGATGTGTGTGTTTGTGTGTGTTTGTGTTTGTGTGTGTGTGTGTGTGTGTGTGAGTGTGTGCAACGGAGCGACGAAGGGAGGCCTAGAGAGGGGCCGGAAATAATGGGAGACAGCGGGGCCGAGGTGGGCCGGTGGAATATTCGGAGTCGAGGTGGGAGTGAAGCAGCTGGCGGGAGACGTCGGGGCCCAGAAGTGTGTGTGTGTGGGGGGGGCGGAGTCAGGGAGGGGTTTCGTTGCGGGTGGAGGCGGGAGCAGATGTGGCATAATCGGATATGAAGCAGGGAGAGGTGTCTCAAGGGCATCAGCAGCGGCCACTGCAGTGCCTCTGACCGCGTAGTTAGCGTTTCGAGCCCCAACGGTGGCAAGATTTTCGACACTAGCTAATTAACTAGGTCGAGTTCAGTCACTATCAGGAGAATTTTAGAAGCGGGATGCTCTGATCGGTTGTTTTCTGTGGGTTTTCTCCCATCACTAACAGGCGAATGTCGGAGCAGCATCCGAACAAACGGGCCACGGATCGGGCGCGATCTTTACTTCCTCTTCCTTATCCTATCCTCATCCCTTTCTTACACACACATACTCTAACAAGCATTACACTACCACAAATGCCGGGAGACCTGTCGGGAGTTTAGAACTAGTCCCGGTTGGGGCAGAATCTCAGTTAGCCGACCGTAAGTTGGTGCCGGATCTCTCCATCCAAGGGGGAAGATCAACGCCAACGCACGAGATCAGAAACATGCACCGCACTTACGGGAATAATGAACTTAACAGTTGACGCGCCTAGAATCACTAATCACAAAAAAAATGGAGGTGAAGTGGGGTGGTGGGGGTGCTGCGAGGAAGGGTGCGGGGGCGAAGCGGTAGCGGAACGAGACAGAGGCAAAGTTTTTGGTGGGAGAATGACGATCAGGAGTACATGGTTGGGGTGAAGATGGCCTGCGGATGGGGCCAGGTCGCTCGTGGGTGCGGGGCATAGTCATCAATAGACACTGGATGTTAAGGCACTAAAAACTAACGTTTTAGGCGCCTAAAAGGCACTAAATCGTTTTTAAATAGGCACTAACAAGGCATTAAAAACTTAAAATTTGAGGGGAAAATAGGAATATGTTTCACTGCAGTTGCATTTAAAATTTGCCAATACCAAAAAACAATATAACATGAGAGAATAGACTATTAACGAACTATTAGTCAGTGAGAGACTTTGACATCTTTACAGGCCCTGATAAAGTACTTCGTGTGGTGCACAAATCAGACAACTGCGAATACAATGAAGACTCACCTCACGCCCGACACAGATGGGCTTACACTAGGGCTACACCCTATGAGACACGACTGCTTTGATTACTTCGCGTATCGGTACTCAACGCTCAACAAAGTGCCCAGAGACCTCCGTTTTGTATTTTATTTTATTTGTGCAAAGCAATGCAAAAAAAATTAAATCTGAAGCCACAATGCGGTTCCAAAAATTCAGTGACCTGCAAACCCCAACACAACACAATCCATCTTCCGTCGAGACAAACAATAGGTATTCGTTACTAGTTGAAAATTTATTTGATTAGTAGAATTTAAAATGGTTTAAACTTTTATTATTACATTTTTATTTATGTCACAAAAGATCAATAAACGGCGAAATAAAAATTCGTTAGAATGTTTAGTTTTCCATAATTCTTATACATACATTAATTGTCTTTAAATAATTTATTTAGAATAATATAGGCATTTTCCTAAACAACCGATGTCTAGCCATCATCGAGACGGGGCGGGGCGGCGAGGGGATGAAGAAAAAAGCGGACCCTGGAAGGTCGAGGGAATGCAGACGCTTGGGCGGGGAAGAGGTGTAGGCCGCAGTGGAGTCTGTGTGCGTGTGTGTGTGTTATCGGGGCTCGGGGTGTGACCGGGGCGACGGAGGAGCGGGGGCAGGGGGGTTGAGTCCCTACGAGGTGGCGGATGAAGCCGCGAGACCGACGAAGGATAGCGGCGAAGGCGACGGATTGCGACCCCGAGCGGCGGTGACGAGGTCTCCACAGCAGCGCTCCGACTCGGGAGCGTGCGGCCGAATGAGAAACGCTCGCTCTGGGAGGGGGGGGGGCGGCTGCGAAGGACAAAGAGGGAACTGCTGAAGGAAACGGAAACGGTGGCTCAAACATTGGGATTTGGGGAGGGATTTGCGCGCTGAGGACCTTCATTATTTTGACCAACTGAATTAAAGAAGATGTCTACGTTTCGGCAGCTATTTATTCACTTGACGCGTTGCGGTCTGAATGAGGACCATCTTCAAGGTCCTTGAATACAAACCATTCAGGCGTCATTATGAGCTCTCTCCAACGAACCATTCACTTATTTGATCATATTTAGCAACATGTTGCACCCGGTGCACCAAGAAGTTGCGAAAATTTGTCAGTTATCATAAAAGGTACGCAATATATCCTATGTAGGCCAAGAAAGTAAATAAATCAGTAGAATAAAGCGCCTCGTCATTACTTTATGCTAGGCAAAATTCTACTGCTGATATCATGGTGTTTGGTGATATATAAACATTATACTCCACTAACCAGGTCAGATTTTTAAATCATTTCACGTACACATTAAAACAAATTATGCGTCATTGTGTAAGGTTGAGTGTTATGTGTTAAAATCACTGTAACATTAAGAATTCAATGAAGTATTTTAAATTGACTACCTCTGACACAATTCGAAGATGCCTCTTGCCTCGACATTCTTAGTGCCCGAGTTTCAATCCCATTTTTTTCCTATGGCTTTTATCTAGCTAACACACCGATGGGTCGCATTTCTTACCAAACACTAGACACCAACACACTTGCAGTTTCCTCTGACCTGGAGTCAGCAGAACGCGAGGCTCCCCGCGACAACATACACAAGATACAAGGGACAAACAACCATGCCCAAGGTGGGACTCGAACGCGCGATCCTTCAGAGAAAAGCGCTGAGTCGTTACACGTCCTTAGCCTTCAGGTCGACTCTGATCCCAGATGCCACCTAGAAATTCGGGTGTAGCACCTCTAGTTCGCATTTGGGGCCGTCGCGCGCGCCTGTCTACCTCACGTGGCAGCGCCCCTGGCGGCGGCGCTGCGCGTGGGTTTCGGCCTGTGGCGAGAGAAGGAGGCAGCCGTCGGCCGAGCGCCCGCCGCCGCCTGAATAAGGCACGAGGCTCGCGGTCTGCGCGTCTCCATTAGCATCTGGGCAGCGCCACCGCGCGGCCGCGCCGCCAAGGTCGCCCCCCCCCCGCACCCACCGCAGGGCTGGCACCGCCGACCCGCCCATCGCCATTCCTCATAGAACGCCCCTGTGCAACAAGGGCTGCTCCCTGTGGGGTTGTTGCGATTCGCGAATCGGTACATTTGGAACTGATACCGTCACTACAACTATCGATATTGACGGATGAAGTATCGATATGTTAATAGTTTTACCGTCAACTACCAATATTTCCATTATCGAAAATTATTGATTCTCGATTTTAAGTAATGTTATTTCTACTTCGTAATTAGAGACGTCTCAAGGTATTTTTATAAATGATGCAAGATAGATTCTATTTATTATTCGCCGGAAATGAGCATGAAGAAATGAAGTATGACAACATTTTTCAACACATGTGTGATGGGTCACTTCAGGACCAAAACAGTTATAATAAAAAGAAATGTTATTAAAATATGTTCAACGACCACAATTAGCATAATTCGTATATTAAATAGACAATCAAGGGGAAATTAATTGGAAGAGTGAATGATGATTAGACGGGGGGGGGGAAATAGTTTGATTTTTTTAGTAAAGAATCGATTATGGACACGCGAGGAATTTCCGTGAAAATAATTAAAATTAGAAAATTACAGGGAGACCGGATGTCATGGAGTAAACAGTGTCAGGCGCATGTAAGAGATTATCCAATCTGAAGAGACGTAGATAAGCAAGAAGGGGAGTGAATCAAAGGTTAGGAAGAAGAAACGATTTTAAGACAAATACTGTGCATCGAGAAGGGCAGGTGAGCGGTGCGGCAGAAGAGCTCGAACTGTGATTGCGGTCGGACGTGTCAGTACGTGTCAGTTTAGGGAAAATTACTCGAAATGTGATCGTGAGAGAATATGAGAACGCAAGAGTCGGAAATTCGAAAATATAATTTAATTGCAAGCAGACCTAAGTGTTAATAATGAAAAGGAATTTAGAACGGGGAAGAATTAAGGGACAAAAAACTGGTACTGAGCGAGATCGACGACGCTTGGAAAAATGCTGCAGAGGACCAGAGAGAACGGCCGAATATCAGCGAACAAGAAGGCGGAGGAACAAATAGGGAGGTGAGAAATTAAATAATAAGATTTGCGACTTGTAGGAAGACCAAGTATTATCATTAGACATAAATATATTAATATTATCATATTAAGGTGACACGACCATGTATGTAAGGGGTAAGAATGTATGTGTGTGTAAATACAGAGTAAGTGAGGAAAGCCGACGGAATGAATGTTGAGTTATTTTTGATGTTATTTTTAAGTGTATTGTATTTGTTGTTCTTCGGAAGCCATTTAAAGAGTTGAATTATAAATGTTTTATACCAGAAGGAACTTGTTGATTTCAGGAAGGTTGCCAGAATTAATATAATTCAAACATATATTAAAGACAAAAATCCTTTCATAAAAAATAGTTTCGTCGGTGTATACCGGATGGATGGCTCTGACGACCACAAAATAAATATTTTCTGCAGTGGATATTCTGGTCGAACCTAGAGGTTATTTTTTAATTGTTGGAATTAAAGAATAGAGGGTATAGACGGAATACAAATACAAACATATTATATGTTCATAAAAATAAAAACCAGTTCAAAAAGGATATTTCCATTACTCATGAAAATACTTTTAAAGTAGTTAACAGCGTCGACAACGCCACATTCCACCATTTTGTTAATATTACATTACCATTATTAATAGAACGCATTATCATGGGCAGTTCTTTTGTCTCATCGCAAGTTGCAGCACTGGCATTGAAGTTTTTTGCATCAATTTGGGGCCGGGTATTTCAAGGTTGGTCACGTTTCCCCTTTTATCCATAAGGAAAATCTTCGTTATTTTTCCCGATACCTATCATTGGGCTTACATCTAAATAGCTATGTTCGATGTTCAGTTACAGTTTCCTAACATAAGTGTTATTTTGCAATGAAAACTTAGGCTTCTATGGCCGGAGGCAATCGATTCTTGTTTGTTCGGAAATTGCCACTTCTTTCGAGGCACAACTGACAACTTTTCAGCCGTCAGAGCTTTCTCACAGTGAAATGGGTGGGCAATCTTTCCGTTCTCTTTCTCGATCACTCATCTCCGCTTACGCGCGCCCACACACACACACACACACACACACACACACACACACACACACACACACACACACACACACACACTTGACTGTACTACAGTACCACGCAGATTCTATACTCCCGCCAAGAGACCAGGCGGGAGCTTAGATCCTGCCCCGCTTGGGGCAGTGCCACACTGTGGGAGATACCTGGAAGGGGAGACACAGCATGACGTGTAGTTCGGTGTCGGATCTCACGAGCCATCGGGGAGGGGGAAACACCGTCACCTCTCGCAATATACCATGTACTACACTTAAGGGGTTAATGATCACAGTAGTTGATGCTCCCGGAAACAAAATAATCAATGAAGTCAAGGATATTTTCATCTTGCATCCATAGCATGGAGGTCTTTTCACAGGCATATAGAACATTTGTATCTGAAATCCGTGTTTCTTTTCAATATATTTTTATTTAAAGAGAGACGGGCCTACGGCGTGCCTCGGCACTTTAACGTAGAGCAATAAACTGGCCGACAAAGGACCACCAGCAGGATTAATTGGAAGGGATATGGCGCCAATGTCGTGTAACTTTTGTACAGAAAAATGTGTTCCAAACGTTTGCAAAGAATGGATTGTATCTACTACGGATGCCGCCCAAATCAAAAGATAATAGCGACCCAAATTTAAAAAAAATTCAAAAATAAATAAAAAACAGCATGTTTCACACCTTCAGTTATATATTTTAAAACGTCTTGCCTATTTCACATTATAGTTAAAAAGTGTTGTCATGACGTTTTCAGAAACGCATGTATGTAGTAGCTGTTGCAGTGTGAGTCTGCATCGACGCTCGTCTGCCGGCCTCTTTTACCGCTTGGAGTTTTCACTTGCGTAGACCCCGCCTGCTCGACTGTTTTGCGCGCAACACGACATTAATCTCCTGAACGGCGCTGAGCATATCCGAGCAGCCCGGAGCTCTTAGACGCTCGAACAAATATCAATGGAGGGTAAATGATTGATCGCATGTCAAAAAGTCCCACTCGCACGCTTAGTCTTTCACCAATATAACGCGAATGATCGAAAAAATGAAGAGAAAAGATTGATTCTCCCTCCTTTTCTTCTCCTTCTTCTTGTAGTGCCAAATTACTAATGGAATGAACAAGAACCATTCAAATCCACTCACCCAAGCAGAAATGATTACTCTGAGAAGAATTGTCGTGAAAACAAGAGGAACAGAGATAGAAATGAAGGTGCAAAACAACAATGCAATGTGGAAAATATTTGCAAAACAGCTGCACATGAAAAGGACTGAAGAGGGTGAACATACTATCAGACTGTCTGCTCACAGGCTTGAGTACCTTATCCAAGATTACATTTGTAGAGGAAAATTGCCAACCAAACCACAGAAAAGATGGGGGAATCCGTAAATCAGTGAGACATCCTAATTGTATAATGAGGTGAACTTATACTTTTTTCTTGGACAATTAATGATCAGTGACGTTGTTGATCATTTCATAAGATACTACATATCGGGTGTTTCACCAACTACGGGCAACTCCCATAATTTCTAAACTATCCGAGATGGCAAGAATCAGTTTCCATGCAACAATATAGAATCATGTCCCAAGTAATATGTCGTTAAGATATTCTTTGTATATTTTTACTTTTTGAGATTTTTTTTTTGAATTTTTAAAGAAAACTACACATTTTTCTCGCTAGCAATGGTAAGAGACATGTAATGATGTATCATTTGAGTTAAGATTGACACTTTATGACACGTGCTTTTACATTAAACGGACACTATATCTCTTCATTGATCTTTGCAACTGTCACCTTTGGCGGTGGGAAGATGTCTCGGGACTGTTACGGGGACAGCAGGGGAGACTGAGATGGGCGACAGTTAGGGATAGGAGCGTAACTACAGCCATATATGATATGGAACAAGGAACCATATATGATGGAAGTTACACATATGATATGGAACAAATATCAATATTAACGATCAGAATGAGAGATTGATTCATCAAAATTGAACTTTTCTTTCATAGATTGAAATCTCAAGGCATTGCTTTGTAGTGCCGCAAAACACTGCAGTCAGTCCGCACACCCAACTGCAAATGTGCTTTGCAGTCGATGGGGGATACATTGAGATTAAATAATTTATAACACGTGTAAATAATTTATGTACATATTTTATTCTATTTTTCTATAGTTACCTACGTCGTAAATTTATTTTGATAACAAAGTAGTATTCTTTCAAGAGTATATCAACGTTTATTTAGTTTTATCCTTAGATATACTGATTTACTTAGTAAGGAAGTAACAGTAAAAAATAACATACAATTTCTATCTACGATCTAATTAATTATCTCGAGATATTATAATTCAACCATTCATTTTCTTCCTTGTACTTGAAATATCTTAAAATGCTGTCTTGTTCGTACTGTCAATAGACGTCGATTCTTGTTAGGTTTGAAAATGACCTTTTTTATTATCTTCCCTACGTAATCAGTTTTTAAATACCGTTTTTTCAATGATCGACGCTTTTCAATTTCAATATCAAAGAAAAGTTCAAGTCGGATGAATCAATAGAAAACATTTTTCATTCTGATGGTATATATTAACGTTTGTTCATGTGTCAAACCCATGGATTGATATATTTACGCCTGTCTTTATCACCCCTCTCAGTCCTCACCCCTCTCCCCGAAACAGTCTCGGCGTTGCGAAGGTCGCAAAGTCGACAGTTGAAAGGGCTACAAAGGAAACATTTGACCCAATTATCATAATATTAATAAATGTTACTTTATTATATTCCTCGTTTTATGATATATCCATTGCTAATGCGAAAAATAAATAGTTCCAATCAAAAATCAAGGATGATAAAATTTCTCTAAAAAGAAAGATATTACAAAAAAGACCTCTACGGCCTATTACATGCTTCGTGATTGCACAGTGTTGAGTGGTAACCATTTCGATATCAAGAACCGTTTAGAAGTTATGAGGATGGCCCATAGTTGGTGGGGCACCTGGTATAATTGGCATACCCAGCCAAACGCACGCTCTCTATCGTAAGGTGATAACATCAAAGGATTGCATATCCACACACACACACAAAGCAGGGCGTTGCAGCAGTCAACCCATTACACGTGTAATTGTAGATATTTAAATTTAAATTAATGAGACGAACAATTGTAGATCATGAATAATAATATTAAATAATACACTATTATTACAATTACTATTATTATTATTATTATTATTATTATTATTATTATTACGTATTATAAAATTTCCTTCTTTAAGTAGCGAGGCTCAAAGAGAAATACCTATTATTTTGCCTTTTCTTTTTAGGTTCTCCAACTGTTGAAAACACACCCTTGAGCGTGTATTATAGAAGTTTGATTTTATGACTCTTTTTATTGCACCTTGGCATGTAATCGCAATTTATAAAAGTATTAGTTATATTTGAAGCATCGAACTAAGATGATAAATTGCTGCTACTTTGTGCAAGACTGAAGTGCAAAAACCTTTAATCTCCTACAATTTACACGGGCAAAACTGAATGGAAGTTCGAAAGGAAATATAATTTCGGGTGCACCAGTTTCGAACAAACTTAAATTACAGACTTTCGTAAATTAGTTTTGAAAATAATACAATTTATGACTATGATTGACTATAATGACTCGTAAATATGATTCACGACTTCACATCATTTTAGTTCAAAGCGTCGACCATTCACAAGTTCAAGTATCTCAATTCCAACCATTTACCTCGTAATTCAATTTTAGTCATTCATTAGTATTTTGTTTCCACAAAAGGGAGATTTCCGCTAAATTTCGTGTCATTTTGTTTATATGAGCGGAAGTGAGTCTCTGATGTACTATCGCTTACTATAACTGAATTTATACTCTAAATTTCTGTCAAGTTACCGTATGACCTTACCCAACACTCACCCTGAAAATTGAAAGGTAAGATGGCTATTTAGTTTCATGAAACGAAAGTTTTTTCTGAACTGAAGGTCATTGTTTATTTAGTATTAGGTATTCTCAGACATCAGACATTTGGGACATCGGAATAATGTAACATTAAAGCTTTTCCCTCTATTTTCTTGATGCAATTGCTAATATTCTCAATCAGTTTTGTTTCTTTTATGAATTCTTTTTGCAATGATGGAATGAAGTCTCTAGAAAACGTGCCCTGTGTGGATGTGTCCATTTCCGTTTGAAAATGCTCGAATGTATAGAAATAAATTCAACACTAGAAAATATTACCATTTGTGTATATTATACATAGTTTGCAAGCAATCACGTCTAGAAAATGCGTAAAACTTGGACATCACCGTTTTGGAGTGAACTTCATTTACAATTTGTTTCAGCACTTTGCAGTCAAATGACCAGTAGAAAAGGAAACCTTCGCAAAATGTAATTATTCAAGATATTGCTTACAAATTTGTTCGAAGTGTGAATAAAGATATACTACAGCAATGCCACATGGCGTAATCATAAAAGAATTTTGTGATACCTTATTTTCGGCGAATGTCATTGTAACGCTGCCAATACAAGTTAGTAATATTATCCGCGTTATCTCATACGTGTTTCACCAAGACCTGTAACCGTTGCCCAGACTTGATGTCAAAAAAAGAATAACCGGCTATCTTGTACATATTTACGAGAAGATTGGTAGTCGGTCGAGGTTTACGACTGTGATTTAAGAAGTTGTACAATAAATATTTTCCGGAGATCGGAGGTTAAAGGAAGTAATTTCCAGGAATATTGCTTTTTTTAAAAAAAAACATGCGGATGGCAAGTGAGGAGGGTTACCGAGCATTTCCAATTCGTTTAATTGTAATTGTGACATTAATTTTACTGAAAAAATGCGCTTGAATTATTTTCACATTGTCGTGAAATTTACTTTTACGTTCGGTTTATGATCGCTGTTGATCAACATCACAGACATTGCCAGTGGAGGTAGTAAAAATGCTTCAAGAAATATTAATAAAACGAAATAAACTACTTTTCGATGTACTTTTCGATCGGTAGTTTTCTGTGGCTTCTTCTCTCAACACCAGGTGAATGCCAGCGCAGTACCCTAACAAACGGGCAACGGACTCCGGGCGACCTTTCCTTCCTCTTCCTTTTCCTATCCTCACTCCTTACTTACACACACACTCTTACACTTAAAGGCACTACACTACCACACACGTTGGGAGGCCGATCCAGATCTTAGACCTTGCCCCCGACTGGGACGGTGTCCTACTGGTGGGAGTTGCGGAAAAACCTCGCTAGCCGGCGTGTAGGTCAGCGCCAAATTTCACCAGTCAAACGGGGCATCATCACTACTACATTCTGAGAGGAAAAAAACGTACTCTTCATTTACGGAACATACGCAGTTGACGCGTTCTGAATCGCGAAAGAATCAATTAACCGCTTTGTCTCCCACGAAATCCAACATTTTGACTTCCGATACGTCCAGAAGGAAGTTGAGCGGTCAGTCTACAGGTTGGCCTGTGCTTTTCCACTTGAGGCTTTCCGTTGAGATGCCGCGCGTGGGCTGAAGTGGCTGGCGTGGGGTGTTGGAGGGGAGGTGGGGGAGGGGTGGCGATGGCGCAACTGGTCACGGCTTCATTCGCAGTGCATCGATCGCGCGCGAAACCTAATTTCCGCTCTCAATCCGCGGCTTCGCGCCGTCACGCGGGCTCCGGCTCGTGCGAGACGCACGCAAGGCCAGAGCTGCTTGAGGAAGGGATAGCGCTGGCACGGGGATGTCAAGGTTGCGTACCAGTGGCAGGAACAAGCTTCTCGCTACTGCTTCTCGCTACTCGCTACGCTGTGGGCCGGGGGGGGGGGTCAAAGCGTTCCATGTGCTCGCACGTACCCGCTGGAGCGTGTGGGCTGATTCATGGAAGGAAAAGGCTGACGGCTTTGCCTCGCCCCTCGAGGAAGTAGATGATATGTCACGTTCGATGGCATTGAAGAACTACATAAACTTTAAATACGAGAAACCTTTCAGGCTAATATTTCCTTTATTTCTTGAAACTCTATTTATTACGTATACGCAAACTTAATGAGTACGGAGATTTAATTAACTAATTAATTAGTTAATTAATTAACTTATTAATACCTTTTCGAAACTATAAATCACAAGAATTGATGAAATTAATACTATCTGAATCAATATTGCTATTGTGGCTCAAATAATATTTATCAAAAGCATTAGACTCAATTTCCTTCACTTGCTCAATTTGGCAGCCAGGAATTCAAACTACTCTAACTATTTTGCAGTCTAAATATAAATATTTCATCCCACTTTAGTTCAAATTTTTATCCCTTATTTTTAGACATTTGAACTGTCGCTTGCATCTTTAATTTCACTTTATTTTTTTTCGAAACTATAAATCAAAGAATTGATTGAGATTAATACTATCTGATCAATTTGCTATGTGCTTCACAACTAATATCTTTCATCACAGCACTCAATTTCCATCACTTGCTGAATTGCCAGCAGGAATTCAAACTACAACTATTATGCCAGTCATACCAATAAATAAACGTCACTTTTATATCCCTCACTTTAGTTACAAATTTTTATCCCCTTATTTAGACATTTGAACTTCGCTAACCATCTTTTAATTTCACCTAAATTTTTCTAAGTGCGCCATGTATCGCGCGTATAACTTTCATTATTTCTGTATTATAAACTTCATATCATTTCAGTGCCGCATTCATTATGCTCTCGTGCTGCGAGGTGCTGTGCTGCATGGAACAGCGATTGCATTATGTCTCCGTTTGTGCTACCGATTGGCAGTTTTTGTAAGAACCTTGACAGTATGAACGTATCGCTATCCCCCTTGTGGCATTACTACTCGTTGAAGAGAGGCAGTGGATACAGAAATAAAAGATAGGTCATTGCAGAGGAATGGAGCTTCTAGTTGTTCGTTATGTCCAGAAACCGAAGCGCAGGAGAACCAATTAAGTGTAACTTCAATAAATTAATATAACATAAATGTTATTTCACTATTTATGAACGTCTTTTAGAGTTTAGTTGGAAATTGGAGGCAGTAAAATCGGTTAATAATGGCTTTTAGTTCATGATGCTAATTTTTTCTGGTTGAATTTTAACAGTGACATGTTGGTCCATTTGGGTTTACTAATATAGTTTATTTATATTAAGATATTTCACCATAGTATTTGAGGGAAGCCAGGTAATGGGTTTGTTATTTATTGTGAGCGGTATTGGAGGTGTATAGTGCCGTGGAATGAATATTTTGACAGCTATTTTTTAGGTGTAATTCGCCTTTACTTCTTAAGAACGAATCTAGCAGTAACAAAAAAGTGGATACATCTTGTTCTTATGTATAGAAATTATTGTCTACTGACAAGTTCTGTAGTCAAAATACACGTTTTGAGTGGTTCTTCATACCGAGAAATGGATTGACTGTAAAATGTCTGTCTGTCCGTACGTCTGTCTGTAGTAAATGCTAGTGCCTAAACCGTTCAAACTTTTATTCTTTTATCTTCCTTAATTTGTGGCCGTGCGAGTTCGAAACGGATATTTTGATTTTTTGGGTACTTTACATGAAGTCTCAACATTTTCAATTTTTTAAATTAAAATGAACTTTATTCTTGGGTGTGGCACGTAAGTGTGTGCGTGTTTCAGGCATTGTTGAATTATTGGTTAATAGGATGTTATTTCGTGGTGTTGGTAGTAAAGGTGGACGAAACGTAATTTTCCACATAAAGGGAGTGTGTACTTTACTTGATGAAGGTATTATAATTCTTTTCCTGAGTATCTTTTTTGGGAATTGACAAATAGTGTTGTTTTGTGTGCTGAAAAATTGGATGAGTTTCTGGTATTAAGTGTTTTTTATGATTCATAAATGGTTTTTAATATTCCTAAAAACGTTAATTTTATGTTTGACACTATTATTTTTCGAGAGGATCCACAATGTTCTGGTTTGATGATATAAGTGACTGATTCAAGATTTCTGGGTGAAGGTTGGTGTGTTTTGAATTCTTCCTTGAACTTCTTTTTAATTCGGACTTTGTGTTGTCATGTGATGAAAGAATAAGAATGATTATGTTTGGTCAATCTCAAGAGGGGTGCATAGACTTTTAATTTGTGAGACTAATCCATTTAGTTGTGATTGAAATTTTGATCAATTAATTTTACAAATATTTATTTTGGGAAATGATACATGAGGGAGATGGATTTAGGGGCAAGTTAGAGTATGGGAATTTGGTCTGAATCTAACTCAAATAGCAGAAGCTTGGAATTTTTAAATATGATTTAGATATTTTGATGTCAATATATCGGGCTTTCTTCAATTGTTGTGGGGTAGTACGTAGGTTCCAGTGTTGTTATTATTTTTAGTGTGGGGCCGTTTAAGTAGCTCAGGTTTTTCCCCTCAATTGCTTATGCAAAAGGTAAAATTAAATATAAGCATCTATTTCTTCTTGTTTCAGTGAGGCGTTTTCTGTTTATATTTTATCTAAAATAGCACGAGTTCAGCAGTCAACACCCTTTTTTTTATCAGGATCACTTTTTTACATGAATCATTCCACTTCACATGGTACCTGTAGTTAAGCACCGTAGTTGAAGAAGACGACAGTGAAGAAGAAGAAAAAAAAATGGAAAAGAAAAAAAGAGAGAAAGAGGAGGCTGGTGCCGACTAGAGCCCAACATGGAAGCAGCCAACATTCCACTTGCATTCGTCGACGAGGTTTCTTATCGTTCGCGTGCCTCAAACAGGCTGTCACAACAAGTTGGCCGGCGGCGGCAGCAGCAGAGGCGGAAGCCTGTGAATCAAACTTCCTATCGCACTCTGCGGCTGTGTAAAAGCCCTCGGCGCCACTGACCGCCTCCGCCTCGGTCGCGCCGCGCCGCGGAGGTGCGCTGCGGGCTGCGGCGATAGGAAAGTTGCAGGCGCAACGGCCCGATTTCATTGACCTTGGGGAGACGCGAGACGAGACGAGGCGAGCCGATGCGAAACGTCTCGGCCGGGTCGAATGTATGACGCAATCGAAACGTCCGGAGAAGTTGCGTTCGACTCGGAAATCTCGTTAAGTTTGCGAAGCTTTTGGAATATGGTAGGCTGCTCGTTGTATGAGGTGCCCACGAGTTGGAGAATTTTTTGGACAGTTACGAACCTTACGGTAAAAAACTTTTACGTCAGGGGTATATATTCACAACCTATGAAAGAACATATAACAAAAAGGAAAAAAATAAGAAAAATGAAAACAAAATTAAATTATTGCATTTTAAACACGATTAGTTTGAAGAAACTCTTTCAAGTACTTCTGAATTTTAAGAACATTTTCAAACATGCAAAAAATTGATATTTACTCTATACTTCGTTACCTCTTTTAATAGTTTTGATGTTTTCTTATGGTTTAATATTCAGATTCAGATTCTTTGTTACGAGGCGTAAAAGTGGAGACTTTCGTTATGAATAAAGGATATTTTTTAAAGTGAAAAGCACAGTAAAACATATTCGGTCTGATTAAAAAATACTAAACTAAACTAACCTAAACTAACAGTACTAAACGAGTTTACTCTAATGCACTTCTTTACTGTTCTGCGGTCATAATACCATCAAAATTACGCTACTGTAACTTGCCTAGGGAGAAAGGCGGCGAGGTTCAAGTACTGCTGCCATTTTGTGACAAACGACAGTCAACTGAGCAGCGAAGTATGCTCGAACGGAGGGGATTGATTTGCCACGTGATGCAAGGAGAGCCTTGAATAGTGATTGACAATACGATCAGCACTATCCGGCACACAAAAAAAAAGTTTTTTAGTAATGAAACTCTACATCATTATCTGTAAAATAATACACATATACAAATGAAAATAAACCAATAAATACAATTTTGTGATAAATAAAAATACATATTTATTACTTACTTATTTAGAATATTAGCAAACAGTCAACATAAATTTTTAACGTGCTTATACATAACCGATATATTTAAAATTTTTTTTGGGTTCTTTCACTATTCTCTGCTCTGCGCTATGTTACATTACACACTGCAGCACTTCTTTGTTCACACATAGCAACGTTGATCAGAGGACTATCGTGTTCGCTTTCCTGTTTGAAGTACTGATACGCTCTGCAAACTTTCTCAAGCGATTGTTTTTGAAGCACGGACTGCATTTTCTTGTCACATTCCATTGCTACTGTCACAGGAAAGTCTACAGTGTATCGTGAAGATTTAACTGCAGTGAAGGCAAACCTTTTGGTATAAGGAGATTATTCTAAGAAGGGACTTGACCGCTTTTACACCTACTGCTTGCCAACTTTTGGCAACAAAGCCGCAAATTATGTCCATGCGCTTAATTCGTCAATGTGTTCGTTTGCAGGTTGCTCACTAGTAAATGGTTTCGACTACCTGTTGCAATGCCATTGCCCTAAATCACCTTTCTTTGTTTCGTGACCAGTCAAAGTGGTCCCTTCTTAAAGTAACTTCTCTATATTGAGGACCTACTAAGCATTTTAGATTAATTACGTTGTTCTATAAAAATCGTTACTAATATTAAACATTTTCAAACAATCTTTGAGTTAGAATTCTTATCTCAAACAGCAAAGTAATGCATTTTTACTTGAATGCTTAAACGTAGGGTGAGGAAGGATGATTATTTTCAGAACGAAATGGAGTCATGTGTCCAACATGTTTCAGAACTCTTGTTATTGGCCATTTTCTGAGAGATTATTTGACCTGGGAACAAGGCGTTTGACGAGGTGCGTTTAACCTCCGTGTAGCACATTAGTGGCGCTACGACAGCATATACTTCCTTTTATTATTTGTATTTGTTAAGTAATTTTATAAAAGTAGACGAGCCCATAAATGTATTTTCCATGCGCAAAAGAAATTCGCAGAGGTTTGTCGTCAGTGCAAGTGCAAACGGACGCCGCTTACCAACGGCTCCCATATTTCGAACGGTGGTTGTTGGTTTTTTTGTTGTTTTTTTTGTTGAGTGAAACAGTTATTTTTTATTAGTGCTTAACAAATATATTAGTCGACAGTGAAATGTAGTGCTTGCAGCGAAAGCTGTATGTTCCCAACAAGTCCCCCCGCGCTTGGGGTCTACTAGTGTCAGCAGCTCACGTGCTAAATGGTGACACATCAGATCAGATCGCAGCAATGAATGGAGATGTGATTCCATTTCCACCCCAAATGGAAAATATTCACCCTGGAACAATTCACTCGTCACAACCGCCGCCCAGCAGCAGGATGGAGAAACGGAAGGGACTCTGACCAACCTTCATCAGTAAGCACTAAAGATGCTTTATTTTAACACGGATGGTGTTGCCCCACCAGCAATCAGTTAGTAACAGTCAACTAGTGGTTTAATGAAAACAGTAAAAGTCTAAAACGCATGCACGTAGTCTACCAGATGAAAAACAATGCTTCTAAAAGAATATTGTACAACGTGCCCGTCAAAATAGGTACCAAGGTTTCAAAATATGACCGAAGAAAATTCTCCAACGAAAGGGAAGAAAGTGAAGAATCCATCATTAAAATACCCCCTTTTTATGTCATAAAGTAATCGACTATCCCCTATTTATCAGTGAACTATAAGCAATTACAAAGGATAATTTTTCTACTAAATTAGATAAAAGACACTATTAAAATTAAATTCAACTCAATAGAGACTTTAGAGGAATACCGAAAAATCTGTGAAAAAGAGAAAATCGAGCATCACACATATAGGGACCCTACTCAAAAATCTTTTTCGGTTGAATATAAGATCTGCCAATTACCTATTCAGAAGAGGAAATATTTAACAAACATTTCGAAAAACTTTCAAGTATTAAAAGTCGGTAGACTGTTTGGAGAGAACGTAAACCGTTAACTCCTGTCGCGGTCGATTTAACGGATAATGAAAATAACAAAGCAATTTTAAGAATAAATCAGTTTATTATACAGCATTGTCAGAGTTCAAATCGCATAAAGTCTAAAACTCCCATCATATGCAAAAAATTGTCAGACTTTCGTCTTCACAGGCAAATTGCGGAAGGCAACCTAGATGTGTGAGATGCTTAGAAAACCATCACTACTCGCAATGTATAAACCTAAAAATAATAATGTACCAAGTGTGTTAACTGCAGTGGGGGGCACACGGCAACTATAAAGGCTGCAAAGCTTACAAAGAAGCAGTTAAAAAATGTAATTGGAATCAGGTTAATCAAAAATTGTTCAGCTCACAAAATGCCAAATAGGCAGTTCTCTAATCACCAACTAAATCAAACAAGCAACCTTATCACATATGCCCCTCAAGAGTTTCCTCCTCTGCCGCTTAATTCATCGCCCTTGCCTACTTTCGCTTATCGCACTAGTCAGCCGCCTAGGCCAGATAACAGGAATTCTCCCGTCCTCCAAAATATTGAATATAATAAACGAAAAACCTAATCCAAACAATTATAAATGATATTCTTTCTGCAATCATTCCTCAGTTGCAACAAATGTCCAAAGACTTATTTCTGTTCATATCAATGGCACAAAATAAAATAGAAAACTTTCAAAATTCTCAACTGGAATGCAAATGGCGTAAAGCGCCAAGAGAACGAACTAAGATACTTTCTACAAGTCCATGACATAGATGTTGCTTGTATTTCAGAAACCACATTTAAAGCCAGTAGGAAAAATTTTCGATCCCAAATTTATCATACCGCAGTGATCGATTTCTTCAAATAGCATCAGGTGAGTAGTACAATTCTCATCAACAGGGAAAATTAAACATACACTGACTCAATCCCCATCCTCAAATGACAATGAAAACATTTTAATCAAAATTAATTAATCTCTTCTGACATAACTTTAGATTTGGCAGCATATAAACCTCCCAAAAAAAGGTTCCCTCAAGTTTCTTGAAACATATTTGATGGAAATCAAAATAATATTACAGCAGGACACCTGAATTGTAAAACCAAGTTTGGAACTGTAATACTATTCATATAATGGGAAACTTCTTCATAAATTCGCACTGCAAGAAATCTAAATTATACTAGCTCCTCCAGAGCCCACATATCTACCCCTATAAGCCAAATGTAGTTCCGGATATTCTAGATATACGTTTTACACAAAATTTAAACATTCCGATTTTCAAATGTGAAACCAGAATTAGACTCAGACCACAATCCCAGTAATAATTTCGTTCAATGCTGAGCCTCAGGCCCACAAAACGAAAAAAATTCATCGAGGAAAAATAAATTGGGACATATATAGAAACATTCTAACAAAGAATGTCAGTATCCTAAGAATGCTTAAAACATCATCTGAAATAGACAGTGGTATCAACTCTCTCGTAACATAATTAAAAATGCTGTAAAGGTCATCTATTAAAGTTTAGGAATTTCACCAAAAATTATTACTCCGATTCCTAAAACCACTCCCTAAATTTAATTAAAGAAAAAACATAACCTTCGTAGAATGTGGCAATATTCACGCAAAAACTGTAAAACAAAATTCAATAGTTTATCGGTAAAATTAAACATGAATTACATAAAGTGAGGTGTACACATTTCAAAACTTTTTAGGCAGCATCCCTCCCAAAATCAAGGACAATGTGGAATACAATTAAAATGATAACAAAAGAAAAATATTTTATCCCTCAATTATCTTTTAACACAGGACTAGCAACGACGGATTTCGAAAAAGCTGAAACTTTAGCG